AATCCAGTCACCTCAGCCTCCCAAAGGTGCGGGATTACAGGCTGAGCCACCGAGCCCGGCAAGACTATACTTTTGAAACTAGGTATAGGCACCTTTTCCCAGTGACATTGTTTTGTCAAACATCTAAAATTCTGTCTTGGACAGTAGTCAGCTGCATCTAGGAATATATTCATAGAAATGGCTGCAATATTAAGATCCATAGCACCGAGAACTCATGTTTGAGAGAACAGGTATTTTGATTATTTCTCAGAGCCAAAGATAAAACCCACTGAGGAAAATTCAGAATTAAGGTGATAAGAGAGCTCAATCAATAGTAGTGAAGGCTAGAGCAAAATGATTACTCTGGCAGTTTTTATGGCTGCCAAACCATGGAGGAGACAAGAGATGAGGTCATTTCTTAAAAGTTTCTGTGATGGTACAGAACAGGCACAGAATTTTCCTAGCCTGCACCAAAGGTTGTGTACAGTTTAGATAATTATAGATCTTGAGATCCAGAAGGAAGTGCCCTAGTTAAATTGTAGCCAGAAAAATAACTATGCCAGGGATGTGGACCTCTCCAATATCCTAACAGGGAAGCTTGGACTCTACTGATCTCCATGGGTCCAAGGCTGCTTAATAGTGTCAACTGGCCTCCACCAAACTAGGGTTAATTCCTACCAGGCAAGCTTGTTTTGAAAAATACATTTAAGAGAAAATACTTAACTGATCCAAATGCCTTTCTCTCCCAGAGCTCCATACTAAAATCCTACTTGGGATGCTTCAAAATGGTAGAGAACTATATTTCACAAGTGGTTCAAAATGGCTTTGCCACTTACTATAACTTTGGGCAAGTTCCTTAACCTCTATGTCTTGGCTTCCCTGGCCACAAAATGGAAATAGTAATACTAGTAACAAATGGTTGTTCATATATATAAAGTACTTAGGATAGTACTTTTAGTACTAAATTTTAGGTAGTGACTATGATTGGAGCTGACTTGTTCTAGTAATTTCTGTCAGTATTCCTGGGTAAAAAAAATAACTGGGGACAAGGCCAGCAGTGGACACCTAATTATCTTTGAGATTGATTCCACTACCCTCTAAGTCCACAGATAGACATCCAGCTCTCTGAAATCCACACCAACAGAGGAGACCAAGCTCCTGAACAAGTTCATGCCATGTGCCCCAAGCTCACCACACAAAGATGGGCACCATTTGTGTTCCATTACAAGTGCTCCCACAAAGGGTTTCTATCCCCCACCCAATGGCCACCACTAAGGCTGGGATAGGAAGAAGGCGCAAACACCAAAAGGAAAAGCTAGTAGTTTATATAGATAGATATATAGATATATAGATATTGATAGATATTGTGTTTACATAGTCCACAAGTTAAATGCAGGTATCCATAAGAAGAGCATTAACAATAAAAATACAATCTGTGTGTAGCCAAGTACAGAGACTTAAAATGGTAAAACAGCAAAAAGGATCTCACAAAAGTACAAATATACAGTACAAATTGATTTATTTAAAACAGTTACAAAAAAGCACAACAAAATAGAGATTATCCTTAGAATTATTAATGCTTTGTTAAAGATCAGGTAGGATTAGAGGGTAAGAAATGGTATTGGGTGGGGGGAGCACCTGACTAGTTCTAAGGCTTTAGATACAATGCAGTTGATTACATATTAATTCAGCCATTACATACTGGGGATAGTAGTTGGGGGATCAGTAATTTATCTACAGGGAACTCCTACACGAATCAGATCCATCCAGACCTCCCCAGTGCCATCCTTCTCTACTCCTTAGGACCCTAAAGCCACTTGGATGACAACATTCCCATCCTTCTTTCTCCACCCCACTCCCTATCCATATATTCTTCCCTCTCCTAAGGTGCTGTGCAAGCTAAGAGCAGTCTGCTCTCTGTAGCTGGAACATATACTGTTTTGGCTACAGGGATCCTGTGTGACTAGGAAGGTTGTGGGGACAGCCTTATTTTAATACTTCAAGTTGGCCATGAGTACAGTCAGTCTCTTCCCCAACACAATCTAGAATGCAAGTATCAGCAAGTGAGGGATCAACCCTGCCTTCAGCAATACCAGCAATGCACTAACCACTCACAGCTCACAACTACGTGCAAACTCCCTGTCTAGGGGGTAGGTATAAAACCACTGTCATCTGCTCTCTTCTCTCTGAAGAACCTCAGTCCCCATGACAGTCATAAAGACAGAAATAAATGCTTGCAAGTTTGACAACAGGTAAAGGCACATGGGCTGCTGCCACACACACTGCAGACAGAAACCCAATCTGAGGCCATCTTCACTGCTGGGTATTTGCAGTGGAATGGCTTTGGGATCACAATGACTTTGAGTTTGCAATCTACCAGGGAGGGATCGAGGCTTAACAGGAGAACTAATAAACCTTTAGTGTGAAAAGTGCATTTATGACTACTATTCCTGCTGGGGAGGCAGCAGGGTACACCACCACACCTCTCCTCCTCCTACCCCAGGCACTGTGCATAGTCTGCAGGTAAGGAGAGAATGCAGTTGACTCTAGCATCTCCAGGGCCAATGTCATTCTAGGCCCAGACCAGGTTTCTGGTCCAAAGATGGGTCCTAGAGTTGAAAGAGCAACTGATAACTGCAAAGACCCAGATGCTTATTTTATTATTGCATAATGTGGGAGACATTCCCTACCCCAGGGAAGCTGGAGAGTGAAGGCTTCCCAGCAAAGGGCTAGTAGGTTCCTGATCAACATCCAACCTAGTAAGGTTCAGTTCTTCAACTGTAGTGTATACTTTTTCTCATCTAGAAGGTTCTGTAGCTTCAGCATGGTTTAGTAAACAGCCCTAGGAGGCCAAGATGTCTCCCTAAAACTTGACTTCTGTCCTACTTACTTTGCTTTGTGACCTAATCTCCCATAGCCAATTCAATTAATTAGGTTATCTTTATTCCAATGGACCCAGACGCTTTCCCAGTCAATCCAGGTTCACCCATCGTCTCCAGTGTGATCACTCAACTTTTTAATATGTCTGCTTGTTGCAGGTTTAAGTCATGCCACTATCCTGTGCTTCCCCCTAAATCACCTATTATGCCCACCGGTAAAAATAAAACTGAACCCCACCTGAGATGCTATTTTGGCCAAATTTCAAATCCTCTCCCAACCCCAGAATCTATATAACTGGAGCTAGACGAACCTTGCTGGGATGCTGACAAAGGTCCTAATGTGGCTCTCCCCATTAAGTTTTTTTTTTTTTTAAACAGGATACAAGGTACTTCAAAGGAAAGAAGTTATACAATGGCAAACACCCACTGATAGAAACCTGTTTGTTTCTTCCTCAAGATAGTCAGACATTTGGAGCCAAAGAGCTCCTGACAGCACCGAAGCCATATCCCTTTGGATTCACCAGCCCAGCAGCAGCATTTCATACTATCCCTAGTCAACATGACTTTGTTATAAAATAACACTGGCAGAACACAGGTAAGAATGAACAGGATGCCTGGATTTAATCTACATGGCCAAAGACATAGAAGGATAGGGAGCTATAAAGGGCAGCAGGCAGGACAGTGAGCAGGCAGCAGCCGTGGCAAAGCAGCACAGAGCAAAGCTCTTGGTGTTACGACCAACTGGGACCAAGAGTGTAGAAGGGTCAGTTCAGATCTGCTGGGGCCCCCCTTGGGTAGAAGCACTCAGCTCTGAACTCCCAGAGTTTCTTCCCCTATGCCACTCTCCCCATGTACACTAATCTTGACAGGAATGATATTCAAGACTTAGGTTATTGCCAGGTCCTTTACTAGGTTTCCCTTCTCTAAAATTGGTAGACATTTCTGTACAGTGCCAGAAAGTTAATGGTCCTCATTTTTACCTCTAAGCTTTGGGAATATCCAACAAAGGACTGCCTCTGGCCTTTGTCAACTGCTGATTTCCAAAAAGCTACTTCCCAGTAAAATGTTCACTCTCTACAAACCACTCTCGTGTCTCTTGCAAACTTAGGAAATTCCTATAAGGAAGAAGGGGCACACCACAGGTTACTCTTATTTTTCATGCCTGGAAGAAAAGATTAAACCAGAGGGAAAAGGCAAGGGAGAATGCCAGAGCTCTGACCAAGATTTAGAGCAAAGAGCTTCTTTTCCTCGGTGACCATACTTTAGGAGAGACCTTTGCAGCTCAGCAAAATCAAGTATTAATAAGTTACATATGCATGGCACGATATTATGGTATTATAGGCGCTGCTAGCATTGCTTCACCAGCAAGAGGCAGAAGAACAGCAGCAGAAAGGTCAGGGCCCAACTTGCCAAGGTCCCCAGAAATTCCTCTCCAGGATTCAGTGGAAGTTACCAGGTTAGAAAGTCACAAGTAGTCCAGTGAAGGATGATTCGATTTAAATTACTTGGTCTGTATCTAGTTAGACACAGGTCTGCTCCCATAAGGCGGAAGCTCAGTTGTTGTCCTTGGTGGACATTTCTTGAGCATCTATTGTGTGCATGTCATTATATTCATTTGATGAGCCTTCCTATGAGGAAGGATGCTTGTGAGGAACCCATGCAAACAATCTCTAGGAATGAGTTGCTCATGAAACAGCCAGAGACAAGGCCTTCTCCCAAGGCTCTCATCTGAGGGGATTCCTCAAGACTCAATCCCACAGGCCCCCACTGTAGGAAACAAGCCAGAGAAAGCAGCATTCAGAGAGAATGGGGGACAGAGAAGGGAAAGGACATGATACCAAATGCAGTCCAAGGTTGGTGTCTGGTTTTGACATGAACCGGAGACTGAAGTACTTGTGGTCAGGTCAGCGGGTTCCTTTAAATGGACCCCAAAAGCTGACTGGCCGGGTAACTGCTTTCAAGGAATGAAACAGTGGAGTGTAGGGCTTGTAGCAAACAAGCCAGTTTCAGTCACTCTGTTCCCCCAAGAGAACAACCTTTAGCACCTGAACACTAAGAATGACACCATTCTCAGAACTTCCCCTCCCCCCAGGAGGTAGGTAAGATTATTTATCCCCATTTGGCAGCTGGGGAGGAAGTGAAAGAGCGAGAGGTCACAAGACTTGTCTAAAGTCTTTGACAGAGCAGAGATCAGACCTCAGAGGTTTGGACTCCTGATGACAGGCCAGGCATGTGCCAGTCTAAGTACATATTATAAAGGAAATGCCATGATCATACCCTGGGAGAAACCTAACCAGAGAGCTGGGTGGACAATACCCTGAGTTGCCTTCAAGAGTCTAAAGACCCCCAAAAATCAAACAAACAAAAAAGACCATTCACCCAGCTGAAAGTAGGTAGGGAGCCCAATTCCCAGTACCCAGTGGAACCCCACAGTCTGAGCTGATGCTAAACATTGTGAAAAAAATGTGGGCTTAAGACATATGGGGGCAAATGTAACTAAGATCGAAAATATTCTTTGCAGAGGAATATACCACCACATAATGAAATATACTTCAGGTACTAAAATGTTATCAAGGCTAGCCTAGAATCTTAGAGCCAGCAGTGGGAGGGGATGGCTTGGAGATGCTGGAATGCTGGGGAAGCAATGGAAAAAAAATGGGAGGGGCTGTGTAAAAATGCCAGGATGGGCATTGCCCAGCCAGGTGCATTTGCCCTGACCCAGAGCAAAGTTCCCTTCTTGTTTCTCCACCAAGTTGTTTGGCAGTGGAAGAGGAGTGGATATGAGTTGGAGTTTTCTGAAAATAGAGATTATAGCTACGGGGAGAAATCAGAGAGACCCCTATACACCAAAAACTAGAGGTCTTGGTCAGCATGGACAAACCAATTTTGCAGACAAAGAAAGGCAACGCAGCTACAAGTGAGGCCCAGGTCAAAACACCATGCAGAGAAGTTAGGGCAGCAGAAGGGTGGGGGCAGCGCAGGCACTTAGGCACAACATAGACAGACAAAGGCGGGGTGTAGGTGCCTGGGGAAAAGGGTCCACTGGTTCTTTCAAAAGTCACCACTACCAACTAGAGCATTTGTGAAATTACAAAGTGGGTCTGGCATGCTGAGCGGGAGGAGCTTTGTTAGGTCATGTACCTTTCCAGAAGCTCTGCCTAGAACCCAGTCTGCCTGGATATCAGGTCTTTCTCCCAAAGTCTGTCAACTGGGTCCCTGGCAAGGCAGTACTTCACTCTGAACCCTGGAGGGGCTTCTCTCTCTCTCTCCTGGCCCCCAAGCTGCTAGAAGCTTTGTAGGAGGAATGGTGAGGAGAGATGGGTAAGGGCTGTGAAGCAGAGGATCAAGCAGAGTCCTGTAGATGAGAGTGCTCCTCCCTGACAAGCCCAGCCATAGACATCTGTAACAAAATCACCCTTTAAAGTGCACATCTCTCACAAGAAGGGTTCTGGGTGGGAACCCTCTTATTTCCAACCTTGGGGCCTCCAGCCCTTCCACCACAAAAAAGAAAGAAAAAATAACTTCTGACAGTTTAACTGCTACTATAAGCTGTGGATCATCATTTTTGGCTCTTTCTTGACTCCCTCCCTCTGCCATCTGCTCCCAAAGCCTGGACTTTCCCTTGCAGGAGCTAGGGATGGGGAGGAAAGAACAGGGAGGCCCTGATTTTGGAATGTTTCTTATCCTGTGTGCACCCCCTTTCTTCCTTGCCCCAGGCCTGCTGCTTCCCATCACAGCACCCTCTGGGCTGTCCTGAAAGAATGCCATAGGGTAATGAGCAACAGATCCTGCTACGGGAGGCTGATTTCCTGCCTCTCCTTTCCCCTCAAATCTCACTGCCAAGAGAGCCATTCCCTGCTTGGCATGTGCAAATCCTCTGCCTGTTTACGGTGAGGCTCAGCTCTGGGGTAAAGCCCCAGTCTTAGTCTGGGAAAGAGGTTCATTTTCCGGCATTGGAACGCCCTTCAATGGACAACTTCACCTCCTGTGGAATAAAAGAGGGACGGAGCAGCGCAGCCCGTGCCTCCTCCCCTTGCATGCTGTATCTTTGGAAGCTTGGGGCTGTCCAGCAGGCCTGAGCACCAGGCTCAGGCTGGGAAGGCTCTACCACCTGGGAGCCCTCTCCTGTTGGCTGGCTCTTCCCCTCACTGTCACATAGCTCTCTGGGTCCCAAGACTGTCCTCTCAGGCCTTTCTCGGGGGGGACCCAGCTGGCCTGGGGGAGCGCAGCTGGCCTGAGAAACTGAGTTACTGTTCAAACTCTGTAAACTGATAGAGATGCAGACATCTCCCACCTGTAGCCGATGGCAGGGCAGAGAGAAGAGTTGTGCAGTTCGCCCAGGGCTGCAGGAGGACCAACCCTGGCCATATACAAAGAACGGGTGCTCGGGGGGCACCTCGATGCTCACTTTGCTCTGCTGCTCACCAACCACAAAATGCAGCATGACAAATCCAGGCCACTGGCTCTCCTGAATGTCCACGACCGTGCTAGAGTCAATCTTCAGCCCCCCGCTCACTTCGGCACTGCGCACAAAATCCTGGGTCTGGAGGTCCTCCACCCGCTTCAGTTCCCCCGTGGCCAGCTGGATGATGGCGCCTTTCATGAAATGGGAGGGCAAGTGGGAGGAGGTAACTGGGGGTGGCGTTGGCTCCTTGTCTGGGAAGGTGGTTCTGGCCTGCATGTCCAGACTTGATGCTACCAGGATCTCTGAGCCCACGGAAAGCAGGCCTGGGTCATTTCCAGTGGGCACCAGGTTGCCATTGGCTACAACCATTGCTTTGGGTAAAGGTCTATGTTTCACTGGTTCCTGATGGGACTGAGAGTAGAACCCATGGGCCTGATTTTTCTCTGCAGGATTTCTGGCTGACCCTCGTCCTTCACCCTGATGGTCAAGGGCATGATGGGACAGGTTGAGGGGGCTGGGTTCATCCTTCCTCTGAGCTGCCACCATACGATAGTCCTGAGAAGCTAAAGCACCAACCACCCGCTGGACCTCAAGGTCGGTGTCTGGGGTCCCTCGATGTGATGGTACTGCCACCTCCACCCGTGGAGTCTGAGAACCTGAAAACAACTGTCCATCCACCACACATTCTACCAGTGGCACCAGTTCCTGGCCTTCGCCCTTGCTATTGGGAGAGTCAAGAGCTTCACTTTCCCGTCTTACTAAATTTCGCTCTCGCTGTCTCTGTCCTCCATTGGCAGGAGCTGCTTCCAGAGCAGACTGGCCCTCCTGAGGGGTAAGAACTGGGCTGGAACCTGCTGGAGGGGTTTCATGCAAGGTATACCCAGCAGGCAGCCTGGACATCTGATAATAAATGGGCATCCGCCCTGGAGCAAGGTCCAGTGGCTGAGTACTCGAGTGATGTGGCAATTGCCCAGGTGGGGAGGTGGCAGAGGGGGCTTTGTTAAATGAGTGGGCTGGAGATGAAGCCTGGGGGGGAGGAGTGGCTCCTTCTGCCAGGAGTGAGGCATATGGCACAAAATGTGGAAGGTGAGAGGTGGTGAGGTTGGCAGAAGGAGAAAGGAGGGGACTTGGTAGGAAATTAGGTGGCACAGCATAGGGAAGGCTGTAAGGAGACCCGATAAACTGCAGCGAGGTGGACGGGAGCTGAGTATAGTGGATTGGGGGATAGTGGATTCCTGGATGTTGAATCAGTGAAGACGCTACATTAAACGTGGGGGCCAAGGGGCTCATGTTCACCACAGATGGGAGGCCAGTTGGTGAGAAGGTGGCGGGTGGCACAGCCACCTTATACAGCATGCCATACTGGTCCACCGTCAGACCGGTGATGGCCTCAGCTCCATCACCCCCCAAGCTGACTCTGGTTCCTCCCTGGCTCTGCCCGGCCACCAAAACCCCTCGGGACCATTCAGAGCCATCATTGGAGGGTGTGTGGTTAGTGGAGCAGCTGGTAGTTCTCCCCATATCCTCGCTGGTCACAGGGAGGTCTCGTTTCTTTGGTGGAAGGCATTCCTGACTCCTCTCATGAACAGGTTTCATATTGCTTTGTGGTGTTCCTGGAGCCTGGAAGGGGTCGACTTGCTCCTTGGGGCATCAGAAGGGGCTTCTCTGTGGCTTCCCTGCACCCCTCTCTGCTGCTGGCTGGGGTGCCCACATCTGCTAGGGAACAAATCAGAGGCAAAGAAAAGTAACCTAGGGAAGAACCAAGTCAAAGGAAATAGCAAGAACTGTGCCCATGGAAGAAGATATAACAAAGGGAACTGCTGGAAAAAAGGAGATATAAGAAAGAGGCAGACAAGGAGGCTACCCCCAACTCATCTAGTTTAGGACATGAGAGAAACAGGGAAACCACAAAGCACAAAGAGCTACAATGACAAGCATTCCACAATGCATAAATAACCGTGGGTTCTACAACCTCAAAGAGCCCAACAGCTTCACGATTAGTCATGCCTCTCATGAGCACCCTAACTCTTCTCAGCATCTCCCCATGGAAGCTTTGAATACATAGTCTCTGCTGCTGGCTCTTTTTCTTATGTCTCTCCTTTTGCTACCAAATATTAATGTGCTATCTTCTTTCCCTGACATATGATCTCATCCTTGCTTCCTTTCCCTGCCTAATTTGTGTTATGATCTCACCTACTCACATCCCTCCTACTCCAAGACTCACTAAACTTTCATCTTCCTTTGCCTCATGTAACCAATACCTCAAGGACCTAAGTGTCAGGAAGTCCCAAAGTCTGCTTGCGTCTTTTGTTGTTGTTGTTGTTAAAACTTGTATCCTAAACATGTTATAAGAACTAGCATCTTCTTTGCCTCATGAAATACTATATTATGACTTGGATCCTATTGTGAGAGTGATTATACTAGCTTGCTCTACAACCTGTTTCTCCTCCTCCCCAAAGAACAACACAACTCTTCTGTTCTCATATAAACTTCCTGTTCCCCAGTCTCAAAAGACTTCTTCTCATTGACCACCTTCAATTTGCTTTCTTTATTAATTCCCTTTCTTGTTTTTTTTTTTTTTTTTTTGTACTTTCTTTTGCCAATGCTTCCTTCTCCATTGCAGGTCTGCTCTAGGCACCACTTCATAAAATTCTGGTTCCAGTTCTCTAAACATGCCCTTTTTTCTATGGCTGCATGATTTGTAAAAAAGTCTACTCTCCCATTTCTCTTATTGTCATCTTTCACAAATGTTTTTGTCCTTTGTTATAAAGCAACTTTTTGGTCTGAACACGTCAATGCTCATGAACTTTGTCACCTCTTTCTTCCAATCAGGCTCCAGTTCTTTGAATCTGCAGAGCTTTCTATGATATTACATTCTGTTCTGTTTTTCCACTGTTACATCCCAGATGTTTTTCTGCAACAAGGAATCCAAAGTGCCTGTATTACCTGAGCTTCCAGTGGTGCTTCTGAGCAGCTGTAGTAAGAGTCCTCCCGGCTGGCTTGGGAACCTAGAAAACAGAAATAGGAATGGAGTAAGCGGGAACCTGACCTCTAATTCTCTCCAGAGACATCATGAGAAGTAATTCCAAAGCATTAAAGTCCACAAGTCGTTACTTCATCCTCTTCTCCAGAGGTAATAGCACATTTATCCAGAAAATTCAGGCAGTTGAATTAAAAAAACAAAAACAAAAAACCATCTCTTAAAAGCTCTAATTTGTAAGAAGACACCCCTGGAAACAATTTTCCATGAATCAAATTTCATTATTTTTCCTTAACATCATATTCATTTTCTGCCTGTACCTATCCCCCAAAGATTAAATTTACTTGTAATCCAAAGTTTAATTAAATGCACACACAGAAATGGAAGACTTTTATATTCCATGTGAACAATGGGAAACAGGAAAAAATCAACTCCATGGATTTCACCTTTATTCAGGGACTATGAAAATACAGATGTAGAGGTTATTTAAATAAAGAAAAGCAGCACTAAATGAAAAAGAACAATTATTTATGTTTCTGGGGCAGCAAAAGAGGCCAAGGGGGAGTCACTAAAGGGGAAGTCACTCAAGAGAAAGACATTAACAGATTTTCAGGGAAAAAAGGAGCTCCTGTGTGAGTGTGTGTGTGTGGCGGGGGGTGTGTAAATTTCTGAGAGACAACATGATACAAAGTGCTAATCAGGTGTGAAATAAACGGAAAACATTGCTTTGGACCTCATATAGCTAATACTGGGGAAACAAACCCATCACTAAGTTATCAATAACTGAACTTACACTTGCCACAAAAATCAAGCACGAGAAAATGGATCCTTAACCTCTGAAAACAGAAAGTAGTCCTGATGAGTACTCCAAGACACTATTGACTGCTCTGTCCAAGTCCTACAGAACACTCCAAGCCTCAATCCAAACTGAAGGCAACATTTATCTCTTAAGATTGGTAAGGTGCAGGTGTACACAAAAGGTGGAAGGACAGGGGAAAACACTGGAAAGACAAATTTCTAAGTCCACAAATACTTATTACACAGTGGGCACAAATCATGCATCCATCCTCTGCCAGCAGATTCAGTAACTGAAAAGCAGTCAGCTTTTTCCTTCATTCTAAACAGAAATTGGGGTCACATCTTCAATCCTATGATGGTCCTTGCTCTCTGCAAATAAAACATTAAAGAAAACTGCCTCTAGGTCCCTGAGGGATTAGCAAGCACAGACTAATAAAAAGCCTGAAAGAGGCAAAAAGTCTGCAGGAAAGACAACAAAGGGCCAACCTGTGCGCCCGGTTTCCACAACGCAAAACACTTTTCAGTATCTGAAACCTCGGGCTCTGGAGAAGCTCAGTGAGGATTTCTCTCAAGGGGAAGACGCAGCTTGTGATCCCAACTGGGCTAACGGGCTGCTCCGCAGAGCTGCCAACGCTCCCAGCGGAGCACGGAACGAAGCCCCTCATCACGCCTGAGTCGGAATCAAGAGGCTGAACCCAGCCAGAGACCCGAATTTGCTGCGGGTGAGAGGTGCGCCGGATAGAAAGGAAGACGTTTGTTAGGGACTAGAGGTTACGGTTTCCCGTGATCTCGCAGTCCTGGCTCCAGCACCCATAGGGCCCGAAATGGGAAATTCTGCGTTTAGAGAGTGGGGGATCGACCCTTCACCGGGGGGCAGGGGCGAGGCCCTGCAGGCGACGCTTCCTTGTTGGGGGGCCCCTTCCCGCCCCGCTAACTCGGACACCCTGCGGGGACACAGCCGCGGGGCCAGGCAAGAGAGAAGTGCGTTGGGGTCTAGGCGCGGTTTCTTTCGATCCCGCTGATCCCGGTTCGCCGGCCCCGGCTCGGCGGGGCAATGGGCTCCCGGGGGCCACTTCCTCCGGAGCTCAGAGCCTAGGCCTGCCTGGCCACAGCAAGGTCAGCCCAGTGGCCACCACCCCCGGGGACACTCACCGGCCCATTTCACAGCGCTTCCAGGGCTCCTTCCGCTCGTCCCGGAGCCGCCGCAGCCGCGGGCGCCGCCATCCCCGGCCCCGGAGCCGCCCCACACGCAGGACCCCCCCACCCGGGCGCCCGGAGATGGCGTCAAGCGCGTCCCGCCCCCCGCGCGGAAAGATCGCGTCACGGCCGGGGCCCGAGAGCGACGCCCCGAACGATTCGGGAGAGGAGGGGGACGCCCCCCTCGCGTCCAGCATCCCCTGTGGTGGGAAAACAAACCCTTCTCCCTAGGGCCTGGTCACGTGAATAGGGCTGGGCCTGGTCATCTCACCCTGACCCCACAATAACCCCGCAATCTCTCCCCTTCTGTAAATCCTGGGAGTTCCCAAACGGTGCCCTAGAGCATGACCGTCTGCAACCCCGTTTCCTGGACTGTCGGTCCTGACTTGTGAAGCCTCCTTTTGGGAACCTCGGGGAACCCCAAGGCGACCTAGAAAAGGAGACTAAGGAGATCCCTCCTAGGGATCCAGGTTGAGATAGCAGCTCTAAGAGCTTGAGAAGCTGGCGGGGCGCAGTGGCTCATGCCTATATTCCCAGCACTTTGGGAGGCAGAGGTGAGAGGATTGCCTGAGCCTGTGGATTCGAGACATGGCTAGACCTCATCTCTACAATAAATCAAGAAAAATTAGCCAGGTGTGGTGGCACATGCCTGTAGTTCCAGCTACTTGGAAGGCTGAGGCGGAAGGATTGACTGGATTTCTGAAAAAACTAGAAACTGACCTTACATTTGACCCGGCAGTTCCCCAATTGGGAATACACCGAGAAGAACTCAAATCATTCCACAAAAAAGATACCTGCACACGCATGTTTGTTGCAGCTCTATTCACAATAGCAAAAACATTGAACCAGTCATGCTGCCCACCAAAGCAGGACTGGATTTAAAAATGTGGTACATATACACAATGGAATATTATACAGCCATAAAGAAGGACAAACAAATGAACTTCACAGCAACTTGGATGGATTTAGAGTCTATCATACTCAATGATCTAGCACAGAAACAAAGAACAATACCATATGTTCTCACTCATAAGCAGACCTTGAACAATTATCATAATACTATAAGAAAGGTATTGGCAATAGTGGGAACTGCCAGGGGAGGAGGGGAGGGATTGGCAGTTGAGGGAAACTGCCAGGGGAGGAAGGGGCACACCTTATCAAAAAGGTTACTTAAGCCGGGCTCGGTGGCTCAGCCTGTAATCCTGCGCCTTTGGGAGGCTGAGGTGCGTAGATTGCCTGAGCCCGCGGGTTCAAGACCTGCCTGGGCAGCGAGACCTCATCTCTACA